ACCTGTTCTCCTGATCTCATTTCCTCCAGTATCTCCTCCTTCAGCCCTGTCTCACACAAAGAGATGGCTTTTCTTCTTACTAAGGCAAACCCCTCTACTTGAACCAGTGATCTCATTCTATCCCATTTCCTCCAGCAGATTCCCCTAACACCCCTACTCCCACTCATCTCCAATTTTTCCGTCTATAGAACGCTTCCCTGCTGCCTAACATGCCTACATCTCCCTCATCCTCAAAAATCTTTCATCTGATCTGTTCATTCCCACTATCAACTTCTCTCTCTCTTCCCTTTTGAGGCTAAACTGGATAAGGCTGTCTAAAATAGCAGACTACTTCCTTTCCTTTCACTCTCCTTAAGTCTCTACAGTCTGGCTCCCACCCTCATCATTCAACTGAAACTACTCTCTTCAAAGTTACTAATGTTAAATTGCCAAATCTAATGGCTTTTTCTCCATCCTCAAAACTTTTTTACTTCTCTGCAGCCTCTGCACCACTACTGATCACCCTCTTTTCCTTGATAATATTCTTCCAGATTTTCTTGATATTGATCTCTCCTGATTCTCTTCCCATCTGTCAGGCCATTTCTTCTTTGCTTCCTTTGCCCTATCTTCATCCAGGTCATTTCTGCTAATTGGGGGGAATACCCCAATCTGGGTGTCAGTCTCACTCCTCACTCTCTTAGCCCCCACTTCCACTCAGTTACCAAGTCCCGGTTGTTTCTACCTTTATAATATCTCTCATATCTGCCCCTTCTTTCCTCTGCCCCCACTACCATTGCAGTCTTGACACCTTTTGCCTGGACTATTGCAATAGCCTACTAGTTGGTCTTCCTATTGCAGGTATACCTACCCCAAACTTCTCTCCACTCAGCTAGCAAATTAATCTCTCTAAATCCCAAGCTTGACCATGTCATGTTCCCCCATTCCCCATTCAATAGATTCCAGAGGCTCCATATCACCTTCAGGACCAAATATAAAATCCTGTTTGGATTTTAAAGTCCTTCGCAACCTGGCCCCTTCCTACCTTTCCAGTTTTCTTACACCTTACACTGTAATCTAGTAACACTGGTCTCCCTGCTTTTCTTTTTTTTAAATTTTTTTCCTGCTGTTCTTGAAACACAATATTCCATCTCCTCATTCAGGCCCTTTGCACTGGCTTGTCCTCCGTGCCCTGAATGCTATTTCTCACCTCCATCTCTGGACTTTTCTGAAGACTACTCAAATCTCACATTCTGCTGGAAGCCTTTCTTGACTTTCTTTGCCACCTGTGCCTTTCTTTTGAGATCAACTCCCATCTACTCTCTATCTTGTGTGTGAATGTATATATATACATGTATACATTATATGACATATATTACCTTCCATTCACTACTTTTCTCTGTGTGTATATATAAACATATATACTGTCTATATCTTATGTATATATTTACATGTTGTATATATATATATATCATACACAAGATAGTGTAGATGGAAGGAAACATTTACATATATATAGTCAGTTATGTATACACACACACGAGGGGACGGAGCCAAGATGGCAGAAGAAAAGCAGTGACTTGCTAGAGCTCTCCCCCAAACCCCTCCAAAGACCTATAAAAAATGGCTCTAACAAATTCTAAAGCAGCAGAACCCACAAAAAAAAAAGTGTATATATACACACACACACACACACACACACACATAGTTATTTATGTGACTTCCCATTAGAATGTGAGTGTCTTGAGAGGAGGTAAAGTGTTTTTGCTTTTCTTTCTATCCTCAGTACTTAGCACAGAGCCTGGTGCATATTTTTTGTTTTTTTTAAGACTGGCTTTCCCCATCTCCCCCAGGCTGGAAGTGTGGCTACTTATGTGCTTGATCCTGCTACTGATCAACATGGCAGCATTGACCCGCTCCTTTTTTTGACAGGGGTCAGTTAAGTCTTCCTTGTACAACCTAGTGCTTCTCCACTTCTTGGGACTAAACCTATTGAAGGCAAACTTAGCGGGGACACCATTAGTACACCCCTCCTCCACTTTAAAACTACCAAAGTTGTACAACTGGCCAGCCTCAGTCTCCCCAGTAGTCGGGACCACAGGTGTGTGCCACCACGCCTGGCCCGTTACATTTTAAGTGCTTAATGCATGTTTGTTTACTAACCAACTCTACTAACTGTCGGGAGACAGCAAACTCAAGGTCACAGAGAAACTCCACAGAAGTAGATCAAACCCAGGTCCTATCACTCCAAGTTCCCTGCTCTTCCACCGTTTCCTAGGGTTGTTGCAAAGGAACTCAGGGATCCAAGAAACGGGAAAAGAACCTCTATGTACAAAAATATTCACAACAGCTCTTTTTGTGGTAGCAAAGAACTGGAAACCAAGGGGGCACCCATCAATTGGGGAACGGCTCAGCAAGTTATGGTATACGAACGTGATGTTTTACAAAGTACTTTACAAATACCTCATTTTATCTTCACAATAACCCTGGAAGGAAAGTGCTATTTTCCTCATTTTACAAATGAGGAAACTGAGGCAGAGGTCATAAAGCTACTGTTGGAAGCTGGATTGGGTCTTCCTGATTCCAAGTCCAGCTCTCTATCCATTGAGCCACTTACCTAAGTGATGAAACAGATGATTTTAGAAAATCCTGGGGATTTCTACCGAGTGATGAAGAAAGAAGTGAGCAGAACCAGAGTAAGTGATATAATAACAATATTGTAAAGAAAAACAGGAACTCTGATCAGTGCAATGACCAACTATGCTCCCAGAGGGTTCATAATGACACATGCTGCCCTCCTCCAGAGGTGATGAATCGAGTACTGATTGTGGCAACATTTTTTCTGGAAATGGCCAAAACACAAATATATTTTAACTATAGAAGGGTTTTATCGTTCTTTCTTTTTCAATGGGAGGGAGATGCAGATGGAAGAAAACAAGTATTTATTTAGTACCTACTATGTGCAAGGGCTTTACAAATACCTCATTTGGTGGGAGGGAAAGTGGATTTCTGTCCATTCAAAAAAGACCAAGTTTAAAAAATAAAGCTCATAAACCATATGGAAATTTAGTTGTCACAGATGAGAAAACTGAGGCTTAAGGGAGCTTTGACATAAATCCATTTAGCAGAGATAGGGATATGGATCCAAGTAGAGGTGCCCTTCCATGGAGGGAAGGACTACATTTCCAATTCAGGTGGGTGGAAAGTCATGCTGGGGAGAAGAGTCCAGATATAAGCTGCTATACCACAACTTGTGCCCCATACAGTTATTCTGCTACATTGGCATATAACCCCAACTCATTTGAGAGAGTAGTGTGGATAGACTTGGGTTAATTGCTCCCAAGTCACATAAAAGCTGATCAACCACACGCAGAAATTAAGGGCAATCTGCATTGAATTTGAAGTGTTATATTTATACATAGAATATATAATTCTAATATACATTAGAATATATCACAGGCTGGAGGGGTTGAAGGATACTATTTCCTGTATATTCTGTTCAGTACCTCGCCTCTATGGAAGACGTTTTGATGTCTTACAATTAAAATACACAAAAGCTCATATTTTTATTATGTTTTATATTTTATAATTCTCATTTTACAGATGAGGGAAGTGAGGCTGAGAGTGAAATGACTTGATTAGGATCAGGTAAGTGGGAACTGTTAGAGGTGGAATCAAACCAGTCTTCCGAGGCTGTCATTCTGTCCACTACATCACAATGCCCTGCCTCAATAACTGATTTTTGTCTCACCCCTATGGGCTGAATTTACCAGGCTGAACATCTGAGCAATGGAGACTCCATATGCACACTTCTGGGTTACTGCAGTAGCTCTATGCTAGATCTTTCCTCTAATTCCATTACCTATTCCAACTGTCACCTAAAAATCAGCACAGAGACTAGGATTTCAACTTTGTGCTCCTGAAATTCATATAAGCCTAACCTGGCTAGTGGCCACTTAGACCAATATGAAACTGTGCAACGCAAGTAGATAGTCTAACAATGGTCAGAGTAATTACATAAGGGTCTAAGAACTAAGGATGTGAAGAGAGATGTTATATGAATACTTTAGGTAATTTTCTAGTGGTTCCCATTAAGATTTTCTAATGGGCCCACATCCAGGCAATACAAAGTATATCATAAACACAGTTCTGTGAATTATATCTATACTGCAAACAGTGTGTGTATAGGCAGAGGTAGTGTGGTAGAGGAAGGAGCACTAAATCTGGAGTCAGAAAGTCTGGGTTCAAATCCTGTTTCCTCTTCCATGGATCTTCTGTGATTCACTTCACTTCTGAGCCTGCCTCACTTTCCTCATTTGCAAAATGGGAATGTTTGTATTACCTATCTCAAAAAGGTTCTTGTGATGGATTCAGAAGCCACTAATGTCTTTAAAACAGAGAGACTGCTACTTAGGTTAACTAGAGTTCACAGGGTTATTGTGAGAATTAGAGCAGGTAATATAAAGAATTTTGCAGCAACTATGTGCTTTGTAAACATGAGATTTTAAAAAATAAATCTCAATACCTTTGCCCAGGTAATCCTGAAACAAAACCATTATTGTTCTCTGGAAGAATATCATTTCATAGTTCATCTCTGTGATTTTATCCACCCACAAATATTCCCCTTGCTTGGAATTTCTGAGCCCAGGAGCCATGTGTCTTCCCTTGTGATTTCTGGGATTAATGCATGACATTCTAAGAAAACTCTGACAGGTCAGAGTTGAGAGTCTCTTGATGTAATGTCTCAGGTGCCAAATTGTGCATTAAATGAGAAACGTTGCTGTGCCTGGCTTCCTTCAAGGCCCAGCTCAGGCACCACCTTCTACATGAAACTCCCGGTTCCCAGTGCCCTCTCCCTCCTTGAATTACTTGTGTTTACTAGTCTGTGTTCAGAATGTAGAATGTAAGTTCCTTTACAGGAGGGTTTGTTTCATTTTGGTCTTTGCTTTCATAAAGTGGGCACTTTTGTTGCTAATTTTACTGAACTGATTATGTAGTGTGTGCTAATAAATAAGAGAAATTCATTAAACTTGAAAAATAGGCTTTATTTTAACCAGTGGTATTGTGTGACATCCTATACGGTGGAACTGCTTACAGCAAAAGTTCATGGATACAAATAAAAGAGTAGTCTCCCCCTTGTTTTGTCACCCCATGGTATTCTCTTCAGAGGACTTGGGAGATGGGAGCAATGATGCTCAGAAACCAAGGAGCTCTCCAGAAAGGTCCAGTTAAAGTCCAGGCTTCTGGGACATGCAGTCTCTCAACACATGTGGGCACACATGCAGAAACTTTAATTTAAAAAAAAAAAATCTGAGCAATATTTCTGTAGGAAATTACACTAGCATTTGCACCAAATATGGCTAATAAAATCCATCTTGCTGTGGGTAACAGAGGAGATATTTACATTTCTCTGTGAGGAGCTGACCTGCATATCCAAGAGAGCAGGGAGGGCATCTTTAGTCAACTTCCTCTAGGAGGTGTATGGGAAGCCTAGTCGAGGTGTCTTTCTCTCTCCCTCCAGCCCTCAGTCACTCAGAGGTGACCGATTCTCTCACCGGCCTCTGGGCTGCCTTCCACCCTACTGAGACAGATGAACTCAAACAACCTAGTCCAACCCATCTGATTCTCATTCTCTGCATGTGCTTTGCTCTTTTTCACTTCAGAAAAGCCTTGAATGTGTGGGTCCATAAGTAACACAAGACGCGTAAAATCTCCAAAACTTTGAAAACAACTCGTCATACCAGTAATGAGAGGATTTCAGAAGAAGAAGGTTGAATATGCAACATATTAAAATAATCTGCCCTTCTTCCCCACTAAAAACAGGAATCACATTCCCAAAGGATCCCTGCAAGACAAACACTGAAACGAAATTTGTTTCTCCCAAACCCAGAGCCCTTTCCCCTATTTCTCTAGGCGAGAGAAGGATAATGCCCAGCTGTCAATAGATCCTTCTCAAGAGAAAGAAAGACACCTCGATAAATTTCTCTGTATTTAGAAAGAGACAGAAAAAAAGGGTTTCTGGCCTCATGCACTTTTATTCTTGGTTTTGATCTTCAGTATTTCTAAGAATTGGTGGGTAAGTGTGAATAGAAATTCTAATTTTCCAAAATCTGGAATGATCCTGGGAAAAGTCCTGACCTTGCCCACCAAAGCCCAGCAAAAGAGTCTCTTTGAAAACCATGATGACAAGGAAAAAAGAGATACACCAGTCAGTCCCATTTCATCATTGTTTTCACATCTAAAGCACCTAGGATAATATCCAGTATACTCATGTTGAATAGTGCTGGCAGACTCAGGAGGGAGGCTGGTGAGACTTTTCCTCTCGCGTCAACTGAGGTGAAAGGAGGTCTGAATTGGATTGCTCAGTTCTTCACTGCCCAGCCTGCTCTGCACCAGGGCCTCTCCCCACTGTCCCAGGGACTCGACAAGCAGCTCTGCATGCACACAAAGCAAGACATGCACAACACCCCGCACCTGGCTAGGAAGAAAGAGCACACAGGATGCACACAGACTAGAACCTGCATTCGGTTCCTGGGGCCAGTATCTGGGAGACCCCTGAGCCAAAGGTGAGGAGGAGCAGAGAGAAACGGCAACACTGAATACAGGGAGAAAGAGACACGCACACGCACACACACGCACACACACACAGAGGCACGCACGCATGCATACATACATGAAGCTGCCTCTGAAGGCTCATCTGTTAAAATGGGTTCACACACACCCTGAAGCCCCCTCCATGTGAGTGGCTCAGAAACCAGTCTGCTGGGTTCCCTCGACTCTCCAAATGTTCTTCTCTCTTTCTATATAAGGCACAAACATATTTACAATTTCACATAGACCTGTCACAGTGTGAGGACCACACCAGGCTATTATACCGCATGTTAGTGGAGACACGAGTTGGTCCTTCCAGCTGTACACATTGCTGACAAAGGCTTCAGGTTTTCAGGCAGCCAAAAGGCTCACTTGTCAATCAAACAACCCTGACCCCTTTGTCTCTACGGAGCCAGGAGAGGGATGTTATGGGCAAGCAAGAAATCATCACCACTGTCTTTCCAGTTGCGTCACAGAAGAGCCCAGATAATGGTGGTGACAACAAGTGAGCCTGGGATCTGGGATGTTTGTGGGTTTTTTTGGCTTCACATCTACTGCACCCCAGCAACATGGCAACTGAGATGCCTGGATTGACCTTCCCCCAGAGGGACTAAAGCAGAGGCTATCAAAGAGCTTCAGTGAGCATGTTTATGGAAAAGTCACCGTATAAATAGCTCCCTCACTCTTCTCTCACTCTCAGCTCACCACATGTATATACAGGCAAACACACAGATGTGCACACACACACACACACACACACGCACACGCCCTTCCACCATGAAGAATCTTTGCAACAAGAGGCACTTGAATGATTATTTTGGAGAGTTCCCATGAAAAGGCCTTTCCCTCACAGTGACGTGCGATCAACAGAACAGAAACCAGGTTTTCAGGACTCCATCTCTTCTTGGTCAAGTGGTGGTGGCACAAAGCTAATAACTTCATCATAGGTCAGGCCTAGAAGGAAGGAAAAGAATGGTGGCAATAACTTGGACATTTACAAAGTCTCTCTCTCTCTCTCTCTCTCTCTGTTTTTCTTGGGGGGCTAGGCAATGGGGTTAAATGACTTGCCCAGGGTCACACAGTTAGTAAGTGTTATGAGTCTGAGGTCAGATTTGAACTCAGGTCCTCCTGAATCCTGCAGGGCCAGTGCTCTATCCACTGCGCCATCTAGTTGCCCCTACAAAGTCTCCTCCTCAAAATCTCGTGAGGTGTTTGAATATTGCCATAATCGTTCTACAAATGACAAGCTAAGGGTAAGTAAAGTAATTATATATACTACCCATTGCCAAAAGGTCATGGATTTATAGGTATAGAATGAGTCCTCAGAGGCCATATTAACTCTAACCCTAACCCTAACCCCTACCCAAATAATGAATCTCATTTATGTGGTAACTAGTAGACCTGTGAATGTTTAGAATCCAGCTCTTCTGACTAGAAATCTAGTGCCCCTTTCAATATGCCACACTACCCTCTCTCTTAAGGGACCCATTATCTCTGTCTGGTTGGGAAATTCCCAATCATTTTAGCGCAAGGTGCTATAACCACAACAGAATCTCATGAAAGCAGACCCAACTCCAGTTTACTTTATTGCCAGATTATTTCAGGTTATTTATCAGCAAAATATTGGTTAGTCAGTTTTCAAGTTCAATTTGGGTTTGGTGAAGAGAAAATTGGATTTTATAGTCAGGAAACCTAGGCTTTAGCCCTGGAACTGTTACTGGCACTAAACAGCTGTGTGGTCTTAGGTAAGACACAACTTCTCCGTGCCCTAGTTTTTTCTGTAAAATGGTTATAAGTCCACTCTGCTCTGTCTCATCAGGTTGTTGTCGAGAGGATAAAAGTAAATAATAAATATAAAATAACAAGGAAAACTCAAAAGAAGTATCTCAAAAGACTACAGAGACCACTGCCTAGATCAGAAAGATCATATCTTGCAAAAGGAACATGTTTATTCTGAGCTAGAGATTATACGTCTACAAAATGAAGCTTTTGAACTCAGTGCTCTCAAAGGCATCTTCCAACTTAAAACTTTCATGATTCTAAGCTGCTCTCACAAACTGTTCCCAATTATTAACCTGCAAAGACCTCATCTATTGATCTGTACAAGGAGAGGGTCGGACCTCTTTCAGGTCCCTCCCTTTCAGGTGACGACAGTCTATGTGTTATGGCTATTTCTCTTAGTAGTTCTTGTTTCTCCCTCTGCTTCAGTTATAGATTCACCCAGTAGCAATGTTTACGTATTACATATTCTCTGCCCTCAGAGAAGAGGGCAAACTCAAAAGCTTAATAATCCTGCCACAGAACTCACTTTTCCATTCATCTATCAGGAGATCCCTGCTTTCAAAGGACTGGTCATAGGGGTCTGCAACTGGTTCATCATCAGGATCATGGTACTGGGCAAAGTAGCCATGGGCAAGGGCTTGGGCTGCTGTAATTCTCTTATCCGAATCCAACACAAGCATCTTCTCCAGCAGATCAACAGCTGTCAACAACAAAAGTTAGATTAGGAAAAGAAGGGGAAAAAGTTTAATATGGAGATGCTAACGTTGTGTCTAAGATAAAACACTCTGTTCTTTCTTATGCATACCAAAAGCTCCAAGTCCTCTAGGCACCAGCCAAATAGCTTAACCCTCTACCCCTGAACAAGCACGGTGCTTCTTAACGGCTCATTCCTGTCGTTTCAGACCAACTCAAATGTGACACCTTTTAGGAAGCCTTCCCCAACCCTCTAACACCTCACAGAGCATAGTACTTCATTTTCAATCAATCAAATGTATAATATTAAAACATTTATTAATATCTTTTAAGTGCTAGGCACTGTGCGAAGTTTTAGGGATACAAAGGCAAAGATGAAATAATTCCTGCCCTCAAAAAGCAATTCCCACAAAATGTAATTGTTGAACTTGTTCTCACTCCTATTTTGGTTGCATTTAATGGCTAAGAGCAGATGCCTTTTTTATCTCTCCTCCCTTTCTCTCTACCATTTAACGAAGTTTTACAAATGGCATGGGTTTATGAATACACAAGCACATCACCAAATGAAAAAGTTTGTTTGAGAAGCATGACCATAGGTGTTTGGAGGAAAAAATAATATTTGCTTCCGAAATGTAATTAATGATACTTACCCAATGGATTGGCACCAATAAACACATTTGCAAAGTTCATCTTCGGCATCTGGGTCAAAGACTGAATATAATTTCTTGCCTGTGAAAATAAGGATTTTGAGAATTAATCTACTCATCATTTTGTTATTGTAAGAGATTCTTAGACCCTAATACTGGGCAAGGAAAAAAAAAACCTTTATAAGTTGTGGTTTTTATATGGCATATTTTCTTCGAGTTCTTCAATACTGTTCCCACATACCAATCCCTTCAGCTAGGAATATCACTGAGTATGTTGCTTTTGTCTTATAGGTTTAGATTCCAACTAGAAATGAATTCTAATCAATCTGGCCTGTTTTCATTTAGCTAGTCAGGAATAGATGTTTATGTGTATATAGTGAACTCAAGAGCTGTAAGAAGTAAATGCCTCTCAGAAACATTCTAGAACTGCTAAAATCTACGTGAAAGTTGGATTCCTGGCCTAAAGCTTGAATTCTGATCAATAATTAGTTTATGGTGGCATTCTCATTGGGTGCTCAGTCCGACTTAAAAAAAAAAAAAGAATATAATGTTAGTCTGGTCAAAAAACAAAAAAATGAGTACAACTTATTACTTTACTAACTTCAAATACATTTTGATATAACAATCCTTAATGAGGGCAGTACGTATTAGCTAAATTAAGCATTTACCTTTATTAAATGAAAGTTTGTTTTTAATTGAAGTATATCTGATTTTCATAATTAATTTATTTCATATCAGTGAACTTGGCTCAGCAAACATCTGTATGTACTGATAACTATAATCAAGGCAAAATACATTAAAAACAAACAACTGGCCTTGAGGGTAATCATATATACCAAGTATAATGTACAGGTATGAAAACTGGTTTCTCGGCTGCAGACACTGGTTAGGCCTCTATCCACAACCATCTCTATATCCATGGGTACAGAGGCAATATTAATCTAATCTTAAATGTGTGCATGGAAACCCTGATACCTATACAGCTGTTAAGTTTTCTATTTAAATATTTCTTGGGTGGGTAGGGGGCCATCATATTGATGCAAAAATGTACTAGATGATTAATATCTTTATTTCTGCCATATGAAAAGTTATAAGGAGGCAAAGGAAATATCAGAATATTGATATGGAGGCTAGGGCCATAATTAGCTCTAAAAGTCTAGAAGGATAAATAGTTATGAAGTAGCTAGAAGAAGGTTTTTGATGTCAAACTGGTCTTAAGTTCTAGGGTTATACCAGGAGCAGTCTAGCTCCAAGATAAAGATTTAGAGTGATTTGTGAAGAGGTGTCCTAGTCAAGTCTGGGGATGAAAGTAAAGTTAAATTAAGCAATGATTGACAAAAATTAGTATGAATGAGAAGCTAACAAGTTGTATTGAAGTATTTAATCTTAAAATCTCACTCTGTTTATACAGTCCCTAAGACTTTTGGGATGCCCTATGTACCAACTTTCAAGTACAATGTATTAAGGTATATGAGTTACAGTTAGTGTGTTGGGTTCTATTTTTTGAGAGAGAGAGGGAGAGACAGAGAGAGAGAGGGAGAGAGAGGGGGAGGGGGGGAGAGAGAAAGAGAGAAAGAGAGAGAGAGAGAGAGAGAGAGAGAGAGAGAGAGAGAGAGAGAGAGAGAGAGAGGAAGGAAGGAGTAAAAAAGCACAGTAATCTCCTTTAGGTAACTGTGCCTCTATATGAAGTTTATTTGGTAACAACATACTCTAAACAGGTTTTTGAGTACCAAATTTACAAACCCAAATGTTTAAAAGTAATGTTATCATTTATTTATTGGCCACCTTAAAAGTTATATTCTCAGCTCAGAGGTTCAGATCACATTTTCACCTCAAATACTAACACCCTGCTAAAGCAAACAGAGTAATTATCTTAGTAGCCACTCCAAGGCACATGCAAGCGTTCAGTTATGTTAAACAGTGTGTCCATGGCCTTGTGAACGACACACCCCTGGTATAATCTGTTTGGTCTCACCTCATGACTGGGCATCCTGTTAATGAGATAGGCAGGGGGTGTCCCCGTCAGGCGCATGATCTGCTGAAGCTGGTTAATATCTTAGATGCCTGGTCAAGGGCTTTGTTAAACACACAGTGCAAAAATAATTTTCAACTCGGATAAAAAGAAAAAAAAGACAAAAATTGACCACCCTTCCCCATCCTGACCCAAGCTACATATATAAAGCACCACTTCTGTGAATAGAACAGTGTTATCAGGCAGGTGTTGCTCAATTAGCCAGTGACTGCCCATGCAGAGAGGGAAAATTAATTTTCTTGAGCTCCTGCTCCTCTTCCACACCAAACATTTTTGGATCCTAGAAACAGATATTCTCTCTTGATCCAGGATGCCAGCCACAGAACTTTTTTTTGGCTAGTTGTGATCCAAATGTTCTTACCCCTCAGGAAGATGGTGGATAGAAATTAATTCATGGACTGGACTCTGCTCTGTATGGTATAAAATATCCACCAAATCCAGGATTGGATCTGACTATTCAGGAAGTAGCCATATTTTTGTGGCACAGATGTCGGTGGCTCTCCAAGGCATTTTCCCTCCAAATGCAAAAAATGGATAGGTGTGTAAAGCAATGAGGCCAGAGCAATGCAAGGTCAGGAAGACATTAGCAAAACCATTAACACACACACACACGCACACACACGCACGCGCACACACACATATACAGTAAGTCAGTGCATGTAGAAAAAGTGGAAGGAAAGTCATGTAAAGCAAAAATAGAAACCTCATGCTGCAGTGATGTACCAAGGCGTGCGCCAACATGGCTCTCAATGAATGACCTCAATGACCTCAACCTCACCCTCTACTCCCCCAATTCTCATACAGGCCCCTATCAGGTGAAAAAGTATTCAAATATCAAAATTCCACGTGGAGGATGTTCTTTCAAATACTATGCAGTTAAAAAACATCTTATAAAGGGCCTTCCAAATGCATCAGCCCATCTATTTGTCTTATCAATATGTTTCCTCTAACTATACCGTCAATGGTTGAGAATATCTTCACAACATATTATACGAGGAGCTTCACTATGACTAGACGCGTTGAAGGCTCTAAAGTTCTATCACCAATTACTTCTATGAGACGTTCCCCTATCTCTTGCACAATAGATACTCAAAACATTATTGCTGAAATTCGTGTTTCTGCTCACTTCCTTAATAGTTAATAATTTAACTTACCCCTCACCCTGAATCTTCCATTCTTAATCACTGACTGATCTTGAATCATCAAAAACCCTGCACCCTAACACTACTGTCCAAACTGGATACTGTCCAAACTGGCATTTCTTCCTATCTAGAGAAATAATGACATCTACTTTTACTGGGTAGAGTGAGAGGGGAGTACTTGGAAGTTCTGTGTGTCCTTGGTCTCCCTTCTTCACTGATTTTTATAGATATTAGGTATATAGGTATTCTATAAGCATTATTAGAATAACAGTTCCATACCAAAGGAACTCTGTCTTCTGCCAAATGCCATGACACCTACCCCTTTTCCGGATAATTTCCCAACTTATCTTCAGATCATCATCTCATTTTCTTACTCAGTCTCTGAGTACAGGGATTATCTCTAAATGTCTAGTAAAATGCAGAGATCATTACTGCAATGCTTTTTCAGGAGTCAGAAAGCTGCTGGCCTTTTCTATGTGCTTTGAAGAATGCATGACTTCGTTTCACACAACAACCTGTAGAACATCGTGGGGATTTCCAAGTTTCCTTCTCTTGCAGTGTTCTACTCTGTCATCTTGATATAGTTCCTGAAAATATCTGCTGAAAATGCCTCCCTTCCTTCCTATACTCAGTATGATTTCATTTAGACACATTCTAGGCTTCCCTCTCATTTATTCACTAGTCTAAATAAAACTGGTATAATAAAAATCTATAGCCTCATCCTATTTTATAGCAAGGAAGATACTAGCCATCTTCCCCATCCTCAGAATGTATACACTTTGAGGGTCCCAGCCCCTCCTCCCCAATTCAGGGATAGTTAGCTATCTTATATGTATGCTGACTTACAGCTTTCCTTTTAAACTAAAATGCAGATCCACAAGATAGGTGGGTTGTACTTACAGGGCACAATTTTGTGGCCAGAGGATAGAATAAAGGTGACTAATATGGGATTTTAACTTACGATTTTAATCTCAGGACCATCCTCCAACCAAAGAAGCTACTTAATTACAAAATTCTATGAGCTCTTCTGTTTCTGAGCAAAAACACAGAGTAGTCTTGTTATTTCTTGCTGAAGCCTCATAATTTCCTCAGTTCAATACAAACTGGTTTCTGCATTCTCTGGAACAAAAGGAAATGTTTTTTGAATAGACCCTATAGTTAGCTAACTCCTCTGAATATGACTTTCCAATACAGTTTGTAACCGTGGAAAGGCATGATGGCTGAAACCTCATTATCAAGACACCTGACTTCTCCTCTGAGTTCTGCCAGGTGACCCAAAGTATGACTTGGGCAAATGAGAGTCTTTCACTTCCTCAAAACAACCCGGAGTCAACAACAAATTTCTATGTCCCTCAAAGCTACGTTGTGAAAATTCAGAATTTTAATGTGCTTTGAAATAGTTCAAATGAAGGTGCTAGATAGAAACAAGATTATTTATTTTGTCAGACACAAAAATAACATTTCAAACTCACCTGCTTGGTATTCTAGCTGCTCAGCAGGCTCCCCACTGGGAAGCAGGAGCCAAGGCAGCCAGAAATGTTGAATGGTTAGCCAGAGAAGCACAGGAAAGATGGTAAAGACCTGGAGCTCAGCACCAGTGCTTCCCTCTCCCCTTTGCTACAAAGCTGCAGGGACAATGACCACAGGCTGGTTATGGCACAGGGAGAGGTGAACAACCACCACGCTGCCTTCTCAGTTCTCCTGTGGCATCAGCATGGTGTTCAGAAGCAAGAAGGGCAAAGGAAAGGAAAGCCAATGTCCTATTCCATGGCTGCTTCTTTCCACTTTCAGTGGCCAGACTAGCTCTGTATGAGATCCACTGCTCCTTTCCCAGTTTTTGTCAACTTTCAACTGCAGAGGAAGATGGAATGGAGAGGCGGTTCCGAGGTGTTAGGATTGGGATGCCTCTTCCACATGTAAGTGAGGGGGCTGGACTATAGTCTCCAAGGTTACTTATACCTCTGATGTTCTATGATTCTATGAGTGGTTTACAGGATTGAGATGGAGAAACATTCCATAAGATGACAGTCTATCCTTCTGCTTTTTGGAAACAGAGACCTACTTTGGATGTTAGCTTCTGACTTTAAAGGCAAGTCTACGGTGTCCTACAGTCCTCACAATGCATATGCTATTCCTTCAGTGAATAAGCAATTTAGAGTAGATCCCATGCTCTGAGAACAAACATCTGCCTAAGAGGGACTATAACATGAGATCATTCAAAACTTCTTAGAAGAATCACATAAAGGCCATGTATTTTTGAAGCTTTTGTGTACAATTTGTGAATGGGGAACTTCTCTATCTATTTCTTGAAACAAACTGAAATCTTAAATCCTGTTAATCTAGGGAGAAGAGATTCTGCAGCACTGGAGACTCACGTGACCCAAGAATTGACTAGAGACAGAGACTGGGAGAAAGAAAGAGTGAGGGAGAGACACATTCCCACAGCACCAACCTAGAAGTGCTGATAAGCCCACAAAAGGCAGATAAGCACTTACAGACACACCTAGGGTAAAGTACAGACTGAGCTGAAAGAACCACGAAAGGCAAAGCATAGACTCAGACTGGATTCCCAAGAGGGCAAACATTGACAATCAAAGCATCAACTCACAGACTCTGAAGAGATTTTCTTCAAAAGCTCAGCCCCTGGGGTTCCAACGAGTCTTAAAATGAGCTTCAACTGATCAATATCTAATGGTGGACTATAAAGGAAAATGTTGGGACAAAATCAAAATGAAACACCAAAATAAAAACAAAATGGAAAATTCCACTATATCAGGTTTCCGTAAGATGATCAGTTAGCACATGCACTTCCTTTACAAGATTCAAAATGCCACAACATGTACACCCAGATGACATTCATATTGTACACTGGCTACAACTTTACATATCATTTGTCAAGGAAATTAAACTACTTTAACTGGTACTTAGCTGTGACAGGTCATCATTAAGAACACAAAACCATCACTCCTTAAGAGCCTCAAAGCTCTTCCACCAAAGCATTAGTAGTTGTCTAAGCCAAGAGCATTAGTGAGCACTGTACAAACGACAGAAAGAGGGCAGTGCCCTGCTAGGGGCACAACATATCTATCTGTGAACATACCCTGCAAACACGGACTAAATAAAACGTTTGTGGAGAGCTAACATCATGACCACTAAGGCCGCAAGGCCCAATAATCTGAATTATACCCTCCGGACAGAGGACAGCAAAGGACAATAAATGTTAACAGCCAGTAGAGGGCACTCCTCCTCTACATGCTCCTTCAAGGTACACTAAAAGAGCTAGTCACATTCACTGGGTTAAGCCTAATGAAGCAGAATGCTTGGCAAAATTCATATATCCTCAATGGCTCTCTATCTAGTAAACTGTAAGATTAATAAAACCTTCACCTCTACTAGTCAACACTTCCCAGTATAGTCTCCAACTGCACACCAATTTAATCTGAATTGGCTAGAACATCTAATATAAAAGAGAGGGTTTCTATTTAGTTTTATCAGCCTTGTATAAGGAGGGAAATTAAAAAGGGAGCAGAAAAATATCTTGTAAAACCACTCAAACTATTTTTGATTAAAAAAAAATGAACATCTTAGCTCAAATTAAAATAAATATTCCAAATTTAGCCCTACACATCATTACATTTTTGTTGTTATTCAGTTGTTTCAGTTATACCCAACTCTTTGTGACCCTATTTGGGGTTTTCTTGGCAAAGATACTAGAGCGGTTTGCCATTTCCTTCTTCAGCTCATCTCAAGCCAAACAGGGGTAACTGACTTGCCCACAGTCATACAGCTAGTAACTGTCTGAGGTCAAATTTGAACTCAGGTCTCCCTGACTCCAGGCCCAGCACTCTATCCACTGAGCCACCTAGCTGCCCTATCATTAGAACAGGTGTTTTCTGTCTCAGCTTTCCTATTTGCAAAGAAATTAAAGCTAAATTAAAACTCAGGGTGATTCTAAGAAAGACAATTTTTAAAAAATGTGAAACACTACAGATGATGAAATTAATAACAAATGATGTAAAGCATCATACTAACTCAAAGGGTGATTTTATAATCAACCTGAACTTTCTCCATGGCTCTAGTTACTAGTGTTCAATCATAAATGAATTCTCTTTAATTCAAACCGTTTTAAGGTTCAATACTTTTTGGGTGAGAATAAAGACTAGTAATAAATAATATGATCTTTTACATTTTGCTTGTTATGTATCTCCTGGAGAGAGGACCCAGGGGTCTTAAGTTTTGATGAACAGTATTTATTTGTAAAGGTAAGGTTGAAGGAAAAAAAAAATTAGAGAAAGTAAATTTTTTATGATATAGAAATAAATATACTTCTCACATGCTGCTGGCATCTTGATGTTTTCACCAGTACCACAAAAATACCTAGCATTTAAGCGAAGTCTGTAGAAATAACTATTGCCTTAGGTACAAGGAGTATATAGATTTTCACTCTAGGAGAACACTTAAGTATCTATAGCTCTGAACTAGGTTTGGGGGCTGATGAAAGAACGCTCAGTGCCAGTATCCAAACCTAGTTTGACTGACTAATAAAGGATGATGGTCGATTAGTGGTGGTGGGCATTGGAGTGTTTTAATGTGATCTCCATGGCTCCCCCCCACTTAGGAATAAAGACTTAGTCTCATGAATCATTTTATTTCTTTAAATTAGTTTCAGACTCCACAAAATGATAAAGAAAAAAAAAAAAGGCAAGTCCCTCTCTCAAATGCCTGCAAGAGGCACATTTAAGTGTTTTTGTTAATGACAGTATGTGAAAGAGAGGACCCCTCCTAATTTTAAGAAATCACCACTTTGTATATGTCTTAGGGTTACAAAGTTTTAGAAATAGGACCATTGGCATTTTGCCTCAAGCTTTCCCCCACTATAGATCAGAAATGAGCAACAGTCCCCAGGAAGAGAATTCTCAATTAAAACAACTTATATTCCATGAAAAACAAAGGTAAATCAATATGGATTCACTGAGATCCATTACTTTGAGATTAAAAAATGCTGATTAATCTTTAGAAAAAATCTCCAGGTTTAGGCACAAAGGGGGACAGGTACACCTTACTTTAAGAAAAACCTAGGAATGCTGAAACTTTATTGTTTCATGGACCTTCTTTAGCAATTTGATTAAACCAATGGACTTTTTTTCCAGAATAATGTTTTTTAAAATATAATAAGATACAAAGGAAATTCATCGTATTGAAAGTTATCAAAATATTTTTTAAAAAATTTCAGACATCCAAGATTAATAGCCCTTGAGAGAGATAAAAATCTAACCAACAAAACAGATAAATCAGGTTATGATTATCTGCTTTACTAAAGGATTTGCTGCACTATTCTTTTCATTTAATGTATGAATCAATTTACAAAAAAGTAAGTTTGTATGTCCTTTATAGGAACATAACTGTTTTACATAATGTAAAGAACATTAGTCCAGTAACTGGGTGATCTAGGTTTCAGTTCCAGTTTTGTCACGAACTGCGTGACCTTGGGCAAATCACTTTAACTTTTACCTATAAGGGGAATGGGAGTAGTTATGGGTAGAAGGGAAGGGATGGCATTGTAGATTCATATGATTTAAGATGTTCATCTTGAAATTCTATGACATCTCTATGTATAGTTCACAATTTACAATTATCTCACTTATGGGAGAAAACGAAGTTTTCAAAAAACTTTCAAAAAGGCAGTTTAATAATGTACTTATGAAAATAATCCCCAGAAATAATTCTGGTTTTATATAACACATTCCATGAAATCAATCTACAAAATCTCTGCTGTGAGAACTAGTGATTTGTAACAAGAACTTTTGACAAGTCTGTCCTGTAATAGAGGGAAGCAGAACAAATGTTCTATTTTAAAATCACTTGTGAAAGTGAGAGGAAGAGAGGTCTTTAAAAAATTAGGTTACTACAAAATAGGTTTTTATACAAGACATATATATGAGATAACAAGGACAAATGAGATAACTGGGTTTTTCCATAAAGGATATGGAGGGTGGGGGAACCCACATCTGAAGCTACACTCGGAGTGATTAGAGTGGTGAGGTAGATTTCAGTTGTACTGAAAAGTAGTTTCCTCTTCTGTAAAATGAAAAAATTAAATCGGATGATCTGTAAAATTATCAACCAGTTCTAAATCCTAGGAGCCTATGATGACCCTGGCATTCTTATATCAGACAATTCTGGCCCCTCAAAAGGAATAGCAATCTTGTGCTAGCTAGGGAGAAAATGTTCAAGACTTTCTGAGTGGTCGAATGCCCACCTCAGCAATGCAGATACAGACTTGGTGAATGTTTTTTCCCTTTCTCTATAGGGATGGATCACCCCCATACGGACTAAAATTTGTAGAATGTTTTAAAATGAAAGAAAATCTTTCCCATTCTGTTAAAAAAAAAAGCCAGAAAATTCTACACTCCACTATATATCAGTATTAATTCTGTGATGCCAAGCCACATGTGCTATTGTAAAAATTCATAGCTCTCTGTGGACAGTAACATACAGGAGAAGCAATTTTCAAGCATGGCCAAGGTACAAGCCAACAAATTAATCTGTGGTGCCAAAAAATATTTACACCACATAGCTTACCGTAATTATTTGGGTTCGAGAAAACTATTTCAAAACATTCTTAACAATTCATGACAACTACGAACCATTGGATCACATTAATCTATATCAAATGCTCTTTATTGTCTAATCTCTAAACCACTGGTTCTCTATATCCATTTCCTGCAAAAATATTTTTTTGATATCTAAAGACAATTTTAAATTGAGTACAACCCAGAAAACCACAAAAATTCACTTGGCAGCAGTCATCATAAAGATATACACCCAAACTGTTAAGTCTACCATTCCTCAATCACAGCAACTTAAGAGAAAAGTTATAGATTGTGAAACAGCAAATAAATAACAATCTGTAACACCATAATAAGTTTATAGACTAGATTATTTTTCCCTGAAAAAAAAAAATGTCCAAAAGTAGTAAATCTTGCTTTTAATTATGTGGCTATCAGTAACCTACCTAATATTCTGATTTTAAATGACAGGGCAGGGTCACCCCTAGGCAAAATTGTGGATCACAGCCACTGGTGATGATCTCCAAGGTACAAGCTAACTGTTAACTACTGAAGCATCCCAGAACGCTGCAACAATAAAATAACAATATATTATACTTACATACACATTACAATGGTCGCACGTAAGGGTCCAACTTCTTTGCTGGCTGTCCAAGGCCCTCTACAAATTGACCCTCTCTTACTTCTCCAGCTTTACCCAACATCACTTCCCTCCATGTACTTCCACCAAATTGGATCATCTGTCATTTTCCCTGTATGTACTCCAGGCTTTTCTGTTGGGAGTGCCTTTGGGTTAACAGTTCCCTATGCCCAAGAAAAGCATGGTATTCTACACTTAGAACATTTGCTAAATTGAAAGAAAAGTGAAACCCAGAAGGACAGTAGTTACTGGCAAATAGGCCATCATAACTTCCAGTTAAGCATCCTCTGTAACCTTTCATTGTCTGACAAGGAGAGAAAACGAGAAGGTAGGAGCCCTTATGGAGAGAGGAAAATTCACCTGGGAAAGGAAAACAAGACCATGGGAAAGTTCTGTTGACTAACTCACCTCTGACAGACAAACCACAATCCTAATGCCTGCGTAGTAACTGAGCTACTTACTATCAAGCGCATTCTTTCTGCACGGGGCTGTTTTACCGTGGGGCTTCTCTGGTCATATTTCTGAATTACTTCACTTATTTCAAGATCATTGGATTGATGGTAAAATAAAAAAATTCAGATGGAATGGCTTTAAATGCTCATACAGTTGTTAGTATCCTCTAGTGACAGACCTAAGACAGGTTTTTTATCACTCTGGTACAAGCTGATCACAATTCCAGTCTCTCTGTAAACAGCAGACCTACAGTAAGCTTAATGGCAGGTCTCTGCAAAGCCACAGAGAACTGTGAATTCCAAGCCAGCAATATATAATTAACTCTAAGAATCAGTGCTCTTTAACACTTACAGAAGATCCCATTTGTTATTAACAAAAAACTCTTCCTGGAGGGATACTGACTTTAAAGGGAGGAATGATACAGGCAAAAAATGATTTTAGGGTTTCAACGGAAATAAGGAAGATACCTTCAGAAAACCACCAGCCCCAGACACGATTAGCAAAATATGAGAGACAGAAAGAAAACAGTGGGTTGAGGATAAACAGTACTTTCTAGAAGTTAGCTTTTGTGTTGAGATACATTTCAACAATATAGAGACATGAAAGCCTTTTGTTTTCTAAAGCACAGATGTTGCCCATGCATACAAGCTTTGAATTACCATGAAATCTAGAGGCAGGAATGTAATTTTATCAAAGGTAGATAATAAAAGTTCTAGTAATCTGAAGGAAAGAAAAATGAGGAACACAGAGACTAAAAATGTTATGCCCATGTTAAATCATCTCTTTTAAATCCTTTTCTACCAAAAATCATTTAACTAAAGAACAGTGAGGAAAGGTTGCTGACAAAATAACTTCTATTCAGACTCGGCAAAAATTAAAAAAAAAAAAGGAGAAGTCAAATTTGATTATATAATAGGTAGGAAGATCATAAATGATGATGCTTCTATGTGAATCTGTAAATGAAGTAGTACAAATATAGAAAGGGCAACCACACAAGGAACAACAGTATGGGATGGCAAATTAGGGAAAAGTTACACTTGAATTTGATTACCTGGTCTAGGTATATTTAGTTAAAAAGGTACATTATTCAATAGTTAGAAACAGCTTTCATGAATTAAAAAAATAAAAGCCTATTAATAAGGATTCTTCTCAAAGTCTTTGTTATTTATCTACAACAAGTTCTCACTTTATCTATGGTAATGGGAGAAAAGATTTCTTAAAGAGCCTGAGTAAAAGAGTTAGCAGGTCTTGCCCAACGTATAGGATAAAGAGACATGACAGGAAGGATTCAGGAAGAAGAATCTGCCCTCCTCCAACCTTGAATCCTGGCACAAAATTCTCACTATTAGTGTCATTGATGGGTTTTGGAACAAAACAAGGGAACAGATTCATCTTTAGAAGATCACAGCTACATGTATGCAGGCATATAGATAGGTATATTCCTACTTCGGTTGTTCAGACATGTCCGACTCTATTTGAGGTTTTTTGGCAGAGATTCTACAGTGGTTTGCCATTTCCTTCTCCAGCTCATTTTACAGATGAGGAAAAGGAGGCAAACAGGGTTAAGTGACTTGTCCAGGGTCTCACAGTTAGTGTCTGAGGCTGCATTTGAACTCAGGTCTTTTTTACTCCAGGCCTGGTACTCTATCCACGATCACACACATATATGTATATATAATATTTACACACATATAGTCATAGATTTAAAGCTGGAAGGGATCTTAGGGCTCATTTAGTCCAAACCCCTTGTTTTATAGATGGGAAAACTGAGTCCAACTAGGTACAGTGACTTGCCCAAGGTGTCGTAAGCAGTAGAACCAGGATATATGTTTGAGTGTGTGTGTATACACACATATTATCAAGGAGAAGAGGCAATGAGCCAAGGACAACAGTACCCAGGATGAGTGTCTGAAGAGAATGCCCAAAGGTGCATTAAGTACAAATTCATGTATGTGGGAAAACAGAACTCCAAGAACAAGGTGGATCAGAAAAGGTCAGAGGAGGAAAAGACACTCATGGACCAACCAGGAAGTTATTAGGAAATAAAACCAGAAATTAAATCATCATAGAACTTAAAAACAAGAGAGCCAGGAGTAATGGACTTCTGTCAGCACGCACCTAGCCTTTTTCTGGGAAAAATGACACCTTTACTTGGAAGACACAAGTATTCTATTTTATTAGAACAGCATTATCCTCTCTAATAGAGAAAGACAATTCATAAGAATTCTCAATTAAAAGACTATTCTCTTTTGGGCACCATACTCAGGAGGCAATGTTAGGATTTTTAATCTGGTATCTCAGTTACAGTATTAGGAAGTACTCTGAATAGGGAACATGAATATTACAGTTATCATAAAGATATATTCCCAATTATAAGTTAATAAACTGACATTCTAGTTTCTAGGTCAATCTCATGGAAGTTTAACTAGTATAGGCCAGTTTTTTTTTCCCAGGACCTGTCTGGTCATTCTCAAGTGAGCTGGTACTGTAGCTTCTGAACCTGTAGGATGACTGGCCAATGCAATTAATTCTGAATCCTCTGCCAAAAGCCAATTATAACATATACAAGCAATTAAAATCTACAGATAACCTCTATCCTCCATGACCCCCATTTTCTCTATAATTCAATCTTCCAGAGTTACAAATCTGGGACTGATCAGAGTTTCAGCAAATCACATGGTTATTTAATGAAATGGTCAAAGAAATCGAACAGAAAGGAAGGTCCAAAGTTAAAAAGGTGTTTGGATAAACCTTAAACTATATCCATTGGATAGCAGGAAATAAGCATTTTATAAATATTATCTCAATCGATCCTCAAAACAACCCTAGGAGGCAGATGCTATCATCTGCATTTCAGGAGAGGACGCTGGGGCAGACAGGGGTTAACTGATGTTCCCAGGGTCACACTGCTAGTAAATGTCTGTGGCTGGATTTGAACCTAGCTCTTCTTAAGTCTCCAGGCTCAGCACTCTTTCCATTGCACCACCTAGTTGTCTTACTGTGCCCTGAATCAATCAAAAATTAGGTAATTTGGATAAAAATAAAGAGGTCCAAAGAAAGAGAAGCACATGAGCAATAAGTGATCTCATCATTTCTTGCCTTAACACACGGAGCATAACACAGTAGGGAGAACAAATACAGATTTAACATTTCAATCAGAGAAGTGAGAACTCCCTAATTTATCGATGGCACCTTGTGCTTAAGTTAATATCTGCAATACAGCAATCTAAGCTTGTCATGGGGACTAAGGGGTCTTAGTGCATAAACTCTAAACTCAATCAGCTCTGCTGCAGTAAGGCTACTGCCATAAGGGACTCACTGCGAAGAGATGACAAATCACAGATTTAATATACTTTTCCAATTTATGAGAATTTCCTCCCCCATCTCATTGTAAAAAGTGACCTGGAGCTGGTCTCACAAAGTAAATCCAGAATACAAACACAATTGAGAGCCTTCCCTGGGAATGGCATACGAGGTGATATGCTCTCATATGGGCTGAAAGAAAAGGAAAGAAAACAAACAAAACTTCTTAAAGGATACGGTCTGTACCAGGAAACAGTGTCCTTCCAGTCAACAGCTCTGCCATTATGCATCCCACTGACCAAATATCAACTAGGCAAAAATAAATGAAAGAGAAATTGAAAAGCACTGAAAGTATATTTGGCCACAAAGGAACTAAACAACTCAAGGCTGAACATTTTAAATATTTGCTACACAGAGACATTCAGTTTACATGACAAAACCATATTAATCAAAACCATATACATCAACGTTTCTAAGCTGATATTCTCAACTTTTATAGAAGGTAGAATTTATCAAAACCTCTATCTAAGGTGGGAATGATGTAATGCCCACAAAGCATCAAGAAGTTTTTTAATGGTAGGATGATAGATTCTGCCAATAAAAGGATCTGTCCAAATACCAAAAGGATCCTTCATCCACGAGGAGAAATACCCTAAGGAGATATTACTGAAACATTCAATAAATTAAGCTCAAAAGGGCAAAACAATAAAGAGTTTGAACAATGGTTATGAAAACCAGATTGCTACTACATATAAACCTTAAAAAAAATGAATAGTAGAGGGGGGTAATTTTTTTTTTTTTAATACCTCAATAATGTGCTAAACAATGATCAGCAAAAAATACCTGTTTGGTTGTAATGCATCCAATTCAGCATGATTTCAGGAGCCCTGTACCACCTGGTAGCCACATAGCCTGTCATTTCATCATCTGTGTGCCGGGCCAGTCCAAAATCTAGGATCTGAAGAAGAGAAGACCAGGTATTGTTCTGCTATTTCTCCGTGGGGTCTTTCACAGTCTCCCATGATGGCTCCTTGTCCCTTCCGACAATTTTTGGTAGGTGTTCCACTAGGCTTTGTCTTCAGCCTTCTTCCCTATAAGTTCTTCCTTGGCGATCCAATTCACTTAGATAGCTCCATCTACGATCTTCACGCCAACTGACTGACTGAATCGACTGAAGTCACACTGACTTTCAAAACCGTATCTCCAGCACTAGTCTCTGCCTCACGCTTCAGAGCCACAACCCCCCAGGTCCAGAATCAATCTTGAGGTCTTTCATCCACACCTATTACTTTTTCATTTAGTTGATTTCGTCAGTGTCATCACCGTTCTGCCTCAATTGTTTAACGTCTTCCTGCTGGACCACTTCCCATGCCTTCGCACTGTCTGTCCCCCATGCCTAGAATGTTCTCCCTCCTCATCTCCTTTCTCTTAGCTTTTCACCCTGGCTTCTTTCAAGATTCCAGCTCAAATTCTAAATGCTTTGAAGAGTCCTCTCCCACTCCCTCCAACTGTGAGTACCTTTCTCTTTCAGGTTACTTTCGATCTCTCTAGATGTCTTGAATACACCTATGTCTCCTTCCATTAAAATATAAACTCCTTGAGGAGAAGGGCATTTTTTTGCTTTTTATTTGTATCCTTAATGCTTAGTACAGTACTTGGCATATAGTAAGCACTTAGGAAATGCTTACTGATTGATTCTTTTCCTTCTCTCACCTTTATATGCAATGATATGCCAAGTCCTGCCAATTTTTAAAAAATAAAGTTTATATCTTACTGGGCTTAATAAATATAACAAATAACAGAACAGAGATAACATTCCATGGAAAACAATAAAATATAAGCTATTTTATTACATTATGATAAAAGTAAATATTATATTTAATAAAACATTAACTTTTTGCTTAGTCCTCTTCTGAACTCTCTTCTCTCTGTATCCCTCTCATTTTTAATACTAAGTAATCAAAAAAAAGATACTACTTCTCTCTAAACCTTAGCTTCCTCATCTGCAAAATGGAGCTAAACCTTGTGCTACTGACTTTCCAGGATGTTGGAAGGAAAGCATTCTGCAAACCTTAAAGCACTATGTAAATATGAGTTATATATACTCAACAGTTTTGTTGCTGTCATTTTAAAAAAAGACTCAGTAGGTATGCTGATCTTTTAATTCTTTCTTCTCTTAAATCATTTTGTCTTCCCATTAAAAAATTTCAATTCTCATTTTTAAATAGCATATTTCATAACACGATATATATTCATATATACATTTATTAAGTATTCTAATAATTTATTCACTATACTATTTTTATAATTTTTAAAATTTTTTATAATTACAAATTTTTATAATTTTAAAATTTTTTATAATTACAAATAAAATAAAATACAATCACAAATAAAATATTTTTCACATAGTATATTTGAAAAGTATACACATGGGAAAAATTGAGGCCATTCACTGACAACTTCCTCTCCCCCCTCCTCACCTCACATCTCTCTCTTCTGCCACTATCTCTGCCTTCACTCTTATCTCACATAATAAGACTTTTCTTTTCGAAGGCAAACCCCTCTACTTGAACCCCTATGAGCTCTCCTTCTACCATCTCCCCAAATTCCCTGTCCTATTCATTTTATCTCTGCAATATCTCTTGCATCTGTCCCCTCTTCTCTATATCCCCTCACTACCACCTGTTTGGGCTATTTTAATTACCTTCTAACAGGTGTGGAAAAATAATTCAGAGTTCAAAACTCACAAGTCAGAGTTCAGTAGCCTTTAAGTATTACTTTTGTTTACATTATTGATTCATTGTATATTTTGTGCTCCTGATTTGGCTTGCTTTGCTCTATATCAATTATATACTTCTCCCCAAGTTTCTATTAACTCTGCATATTTTTGTTTATTATACCATGAATAATATTTCATTATAGTCATATATCATAATTTTTTAAACCTATTTTTTAACTGATGGGCACTAATTTTTTTTTCTAGTTTTTTATACCACAGAAGGTGTCATTATAACTTATTTTGGTATATATGGAGCCTTTCTTGATGTCTTTGGTTTTTTTAAATAATATTTTATTTTTCCTCCAATTACATGTAAAAACAATTTTTAACACTCATTTTTAAAAAACATTTTACTTCCAAATTCTCTCCCTCCCTCCCTTCCCTTCTCCCTGAGACAATAAGCAACTTTCTTGATGTCTTTGACCTCCACAGAATGGAAAGCTCTACAAACAGTACATGAGCCTCTTTCCCCTTCAGTCCCTTCAGCATTTTTCATTTTCCTTTTTCTGGGCAACTTTGCCCACCTGATGCGTACAAGGTGAAACCTCAGAGACACTTTCATTTCTCTTTTTACTAGTGATGTGGAGCAAGTTCACATCGTTGTTGACAGGCTGATTTTCTTCTTTTGAAGACTGTTCACATCTTTTGACAACTTTTCTATTAAGTAATGGACGTTAATTTTATATTTGTACCAGTCCTTATGTACTTCTGCTATCAGACTGTTAGGAAGAAGCATGGCATAATAGAGAGAGGGCAAAACCAGAAGCCAGAAAACTAGGGTTCAAGACCCACTCCTGACGTATAGTAATTGTATGACTCTGGACAAGTCATTTAATCTTTTAGTGCTCGAAGCTGGCAGCAATGTAATTGGGAATTTTTTTTTTTGGTGAGGTAACTGGGGTTAAGTGACTTGCCTAGGGTCACACAGCTAGTGAGTGTTATGTGTCTGGGTCTGCATTTGATCTCAGGTCCTCCTAACTCCAGGCCCAATGCTCTATCCACTGCCCCACCTAGCTGCCCCTAATTAGGGAAATATTTAACAAAATAAATAAAAATACCATAGAACATATATAGTGTTAATAAGTGGTTTTCTAAGTCAATATGTAGCTTGCAAGGATCCTCACACAAGGCTTGGTGGGTCCCATTTCTATTTGAGTTTGACATTATAGCTCTAGGTAACTCTTTAAGACTACAAGCTGCAGAGAAGTTGCCAACCTGCAATGGTAATTGGAGATTCCTCATCTGGAAGTGCCCTAACTTAATGAAATCACAGACCCAGGCCTTATTCCTTATTCCTATCTGACATTTACCAGAGATGTTTTGAGGCAATGACTTTTTAACCCATTTAACAGCTTCTCTTCTTATTTTTAGTTGTATTTATTTGGTTTATGGAAAAGTTTTTTAATTTTATGTAACCAAAATTGCCTATTTTGTCTTTTATGACTACTTCTACTCCTTGTTTATTAAAAAATCTTCCTTAGCTATATTGTGAAAGATTCCTCCTTCTACTCTCCTTTGATTTCTTTCTAAAATGAGGTGATCTTTTATATTTAGATTACATATCCATTTGAAGTTTATTGTGGTATATGGTATAAGATGGGGAGGGAAGAGGAAGGTGGGGAATGAGGAAAGAAGGGAGAAAGGGAAGACAGGAGAGGTCTTTTGTAGTTGTATATGTGTAAGTCTTTAGTAGTGTTGGTAGATACGTACCAGACAAATTCTATGCTTCTTTTGATAGGAATTTTTCTTTTTTTCCCCAGGGATTTGTTAGCAATATGCAGAAAGGCTCGTGATTTTTGGAGAATTATTTTGTAAACTACTACTTACTTATTTATGCAGGGGTCTGGTCATGTCATTTTTCTTCAAAAATATTCAGCTGCTTCCTACTATCTACCCAGGTAGTAACTATTAGAAGTAGCATATGAACCCAAGTCTTTGGCTACAAATTCGTAATCCCCCCTCCCCCATAACACAAACTTCTATATCCAGGTTACAATTTTCTTATTCTATTTCATGCCCATCATCACTATCATTATCAAATGCTGCTATTCTTGTCAATGCTACTGATAATTCCTCACTTTAAGTATTTTCTTTTAAAACAACAATAAAACCTATCTGGTATCATTTTTATTATTACTTAAACACTTATTAAATTCAGTGATGTTAAAAATTTCTGGATCTAATATTCTTGAAGACAGCCTTAATTTCTCAGAAAAAAAAAAAGTTGTAGCACAATTATCCATTCTACAAGACACTTTCACTTTATAGATGAAATGCACAGCCACAAGTTAATGCAAACCGCATTCTACAATCTCTACATTACCTTAAGCTCACAGTCTTCATTCACAGCTAAGTTACTAGGTTTCAGGTCCTAGGAATAAGTAATAAATAGATTAACTTTATTTTTCACTGTTAAGTACCTTGCCTGAAGCTATAGATGGAACACAGCCACTGTTAATCTTTCACTTTTACTGTAACTTGTTAGATAGAATGAGACTTTCCAGTCATATGAAATAAACTTCGTCTTACACCCAGCTGCTAGTTCAAGGTGTACTAAGTATATACATAAACTATACAATCACTTCATTAGTTTAGCTTGAGAGAAATGTTAGAGATGCAATTATCAATAGCAATTCAAGGTCTACCAAAATGGCACTGAGTTCTGATAAAGGACCTGGCTAAAATCCAAACATCCTTCCACTCCCATTATATTTAATCAAAGGAAATAAGTCAGTTAAAATACTTACTCTGTGTATAATGTCAGCTGAATGAATATACTATAGGGGAAAAGAAAAACATGTCAATCAACTAATAAAAATACCTCCTCCAACACATTCTTTAATATCAGTACATAATACAACATACAGAGTCTATAATTCAGAGTTTATTTGCATCACATCTTCATGAAAGCAGAATTGCAATTACTGACACTGGGCCTAAAAGCTGTAAGAGAAAATGGTAAATTATTTCCCATTACAATGTAATGAATATCTCTGAATTCTATTATAACCACCTGATTTAGGTATTTTCATGATATGTACCTTAAAAATTGCAACCTGATTTTAGCTTGGAACTCAACAGGCCATCAAAATGTTCCAAGTGCCAAAACTCACAGGAAGCTCATGGAGTGCTGTATCTACTCTGTTCTCTACAGGTTTACCACAGTAATCATCTAAATGCTACTCTAAGATTATTTCAATACCACCTTAAAGATTGCTAGTGCTGAAACGCTACCTTTAGGCCCCGGAGAATCTGGTAGATAAGGAACTGTACATGGTCATCAGTGAGCTTTTGACATTTCACAATATTGTTCAGATCCGCCCCCATGAGATGTGTCACCAGATACCTAGAAATTACAAGGGAGAGTTACACAATATTCCAGAATCCCAAAGAAGGCTCTTATCACAAGAGTCCTGAATGTTTTTTACTGCAACATTATACTCAGTAAGATACAGAACATAAGCTAACCTGACGATTATGACCAAGCTACCATTAATAACTACATATAATCACCACCACTCTATGCTTACCACTCGTGGTAGAGTCACTTTTATACATGGCTCCATGTAATACTCATTTCCTCAGTTTCCTTCTTGCCTAACCACTCACAAAAAAACAAAACAAAACAAACAAACAAACAAAAAAAACAAAGTGGGGAGAAATAGAAGTTTTGTATTGGTGTAAATCTGTCACCAGAGCCTATTATACATGGGTATAATAATAAAATAGAAAGTATTTTGTATTTTTAAATCTATTGTCTTTTTACCTCATATCACTTAAAAGTCTCCAAGCTGCAACATGTAAAATGAAGAAAATGTCTTTTAAAATTTTTTTTTAATATTTTATTAGTCCTCCTTACATGTAAAGACAATTTTAACTCTTTTTTTCCTTCAAATTTTGAGTTCCAAATTCTTTCCCTCTCTCCCCTCATTGAGAAGGCAGGCAATTTGATATAGGTTATACATCTGAAGAAAATATCTTAAAACAATCAAATTGTTTAAAATCCTTCCCATTTAAAAATAATAAGCAAAATAGAACTGTGCAATATGGCATTCCTGCATTTATTTACCAGAAGAGGACAGACATAAAAATGAGAGATATGTTTACTATCTAAAGGGGAAATGATCCACAGACTTACTAAACACTTATTACAGAGCTCTCTGAATAGGTGTGGCCCTGGTTATTAACTGACTTTACAATAAGACTGTGGACAGATTATATTCAAGTCCAACAAGTTTGCCACACTCAAGACATAATGTCTTGCCCCACTCAATACTACATTATTATAGAGATAATACAAAATCTAGAACAGCACTAAAAATACTGAATGAAAAAACTGTTTTTATATGTTCAGCTGTATAGAGGCATTCAATTCACTCACACAGATCAAATAATAATTTGTAAAGTAATGTGTAAATAAAGGGTTCCCATTATCTGAAGCAATTTTGAACTTCTAGAGTGGCATAAAGCTAAAGTTGCAAAAAACAAAAAAAAACCAGAGTTTCTCACTTTATTTTTATTCATCTATCCCCCAAAATTCATTCATTTATTTAGAAAACATTTTTTTTTGTTTTGAGCTCAAAATTTTCTCCCTCTCTCTCACCCCTCCCTCACTCATTAAGAAGGCAAGTGATTCACTTTATTTTACAAGTTTACGTGTTTCTATTACCTTGAAAGATGATTTTAATTAAAAATTAACACTGGATTTGTTTTTTAAAATATCATGTAAGGAGTCTTAAGATATTTCAGAACTGAAGAGATCAAAGAATAACAATTATAAATTCAAGTTTTGTGACAGGATAGGGACTGGACCTAAGATTTCACTCGAATAATGAAACTTCTTTTACTATTGTAGGCTGGCACCTTTTCTACATCTCATCGCCTTAAGGAGTCGCCCAGAGCACTAACAGGTTAAGAGACACTTGGGTCAGTCAGAGGCTACTACGTAGGGCTGGATCCCAGGCCTAGGTTAACACCATCTTCGTGGTATTTAGCAATAAAAGCTAAAGAGCGCACTGCAACAAACACAAAACATGGGTGTCTGCTTAAGAAACAAAGGCCACACTGATGTGCGATGCAAACATAAATGCTTCACCCAGTCATGGAGGGGCACCTCTCATACTAGTCCCCCAGCATTCGATATTTAAAACTAGAAGGTCATATAATCCAGTGGTATCAAACTCAAAATAGAAATGGATCCCTGTGGGCTGTTGTACTGTAGTTCTTTTTATTTTGTTAAACATTTTCCAATTACATTTTAATCTGGGTTACTCAGGAAGGAACTGGCCAAGTTTGACATCCCAAATGTAACCCAACTTCCTCATTTTACAGACAAAGAAAGGGGAGACTTAGAGAACTTGAGCGATCTGCCCAAAGTGCTAAGCAGGAGATCTGGGATTTGAACCTAGATTTTTGACCCCACATCTGGCATTCTTTCTAATAAACCACATTGCTTAGTCAATTTACAAAGTATACTAATCACATCAGATGATTTATCCATGTACTAAACCTGTTAAGAGTCAGAGACACGATTCAAATGCAAGATTTCTGACTCCAGCTCTTTCTGCTATTTAACTCTACCTCTCCATGAGGAAAGCAGCCTATTCCTTAGTAGTTGTTCTGTTCATCAGTTACCTGGGGTGCCTGCTATAAGGGGCCTTTTTGTTTTTGTTTTTTTCTGTTCCTCTGCATACAGACTCTGTGCACTTAGAGTTATTTTACTCAAGGTTGTATTGAGTCATCTGAACTTTTTCAGCTGCACTACCAACACATGACTAATTATCATGTGAGATTCAATATTTATACAGGCAGAAATGCTGAAACAGAAGAAGTCATTGGACCTCACTAAATTAGAAAGCAGAGTAGCAATGGCATGATTCTATGTACCAAAGATCATCTAGTAACCCACAAATGTTCTGCATGCTGAACACAAGAAAGAAATTACCTCACTGATTTCATTATCCAGACAAGAACCATATTCAGATGATCAGAGGGAACGAGAGCTGCAATGATGGTCAATATACTCAAATTTTAATAGAATCTATCACACAAAGTGACATTTAATGCATTCACATAGCAGCACTGAACTTTACGGAATGAAGATACTTCATTCAACATACCACCATCTTCTTAGCTTTTTCACATCAAGAAACAGTGACCGCATATATAAAATGCTAAAAGGAAACACTACCATTTCAAATTTGTCCCCGTTATCATTAATACAGATGCCTGAAAAAGCTAATGGGGTATACTATTTCCATTCATTGTAGTGGGAATCCTAAACTGGCCACTGAAAATCTCTGTCAGCATGCCAGTCAGGAACGTCTTGAGGTTACAATGGACATAAAATTACAATGAATGTTTTCTAGATAGCCTATACAATGTAAAACCACTGGAGGTTTCTGAGCAAAGAAGTGACTTACTCAGATCTGAGCTTTAAGAAGATTCTTTTGGCAACTGTGTGAAGGATAGATTGGAAGAGAGGAGGGGGAAGGACCTAAATTCAGCCATATGAGTAAAAAGAAGGATGATTTGGAGATCATGAATCTGGGTGACTGGTAGCTGAAGCCCTCAACAGGAACATGAAGTTCAGAGGAAAGGTAGGTTTAGGGGGAAAGATGATGAGTTAGTTTCATATTGGAAATACTGAATTTAAGATACTGATAAGATGCAAATGGCTAGCAGGTGGTGCTAACATGGCAATGGAATTGAAGGGAGAAAGATTACTACTGGATCTAAAGATTTGGAATAGAGAAAATTGAACCCGTGGAAGCTGACATCACCAACAAATAGAGCTCTGAGAAAGAAGAATGCCCAGGACAGGGTCTTTGGAGATATTCATGAAGATGTTAGAAGTATGAAAACTCAGCAAAGAAGAATGAAAGCAAATAGTCAGGTAAAAACCAAGAGAGAGCAGAGAACTTTAAAGCCAAAGAAATGCAGAATACTGAGAAAGGAGAGAGGGTGATTAACAGCATTGAAAACTGAAGAGCTCAAGAAAGAGGAGAAGTTGAAGAAAAGCCACTGGATTTAGCAGCAAAGATGAAGTTTTTGTGTTTTGTTTTGTTTTTTTAACTTTAAGTTTTGTTAATCTCTTCTTTGATTTTTAGAATTTCCAATTTGGTGTTTTATTGGGATTTTTTGGTTTACTGCTTTCCTAGTGTTTTTTGATTGCGTGCACAATTCATTGATCTGTTATTTCTTTTTACTGCTGAAGAACACATTGAGAATTATTCATTTTACCTAAGAATTGCTTTAGCTGTATCGCAAAAGTTTTGGTTATGTTGTCTTATCACTGTCCTTGTCCTTGATGAAATTCTCTATGATTTCTATGATTTGTTCTTTGACCCATCAATTCTTTAGGATTAAATTATTTTTTCTCAGGCTAGTTTTTTATTCTTTCTTCAAAGGCTCTTCAATGAATATAATTTTATTCCATTGTAGTCAGTAAAAGATGCACTTAATATTTTTATTTTTCTGTATTGAGTATGAGACTTTTATGCCCTAATACATGGTCAATTTTTGTAATATTGTCATACATAAGAAATATATATATATGTGTTCCCTTTTTGTTCTATAACTGCCAGTTTCAACACAACTGTTCTAAAAATCTCTTCAGGTCCTCAACTTCTTTCTTACTTTTTCTTTATTTTAGAGTTGTCCAGATCTCAAAGACAAAGTTGAGTTTCTCCACTACTATGGTTTTACTGTCAACTTTTCTCTATATTTAATTAGCATTTTCTTTTAATTATTTAGATACTAAGGCATTTTATACATACATGTTAATTATTGATTTTGATTCTTTTCTATAGTGCCTTTAAGCATAATGTGATTTGCCAACTTATCTCTTATAATCAAGTCTATTTTTACTCTCACCTTATATGAGTTCATGATTATTTTTGCTGCTTTTTTTTTAAACAGCACAATTTTACATTCATATTCTTCATTGAAAGATTCTCTATTGCCCAACTAGCAATCAATCAATCAATCAACCACAGCAAACTAATAATGGTTGTACCCCGATTTAAAAAGTCTCAAATATGTTTCAAAATGTTGAAAACCATCAGAGCAATGCAAAGGAAGACATATTGGACAATTTTCTAGGTAAATACTCAGCACATGGGAGAACATACTAGTAAAGGAATAAGTGATACTTTTTGCACATAACATTTTCTCCTCTATCATTTGCTATAAATAACTTTTACACTTTTAATTTTTACTAAATGCATGTCACATGTCTATATACATATATTCGCCCATCTGTCAAAAATCAGTAATGTAAGCTACTGTCAAAAACAAGTTTTTAAAAATTGATTTTGAAAAAGATTATATATGCTTGGAAGAAAAATGCTAGTAGATATTCAATCACACTCACATGACTCAAAGGAGCTATACTTACTTTTTGCCATCTATACTCTACACTGAGACTTTCCCCCAACCCAACCATCATCTGGAAGAGTCAAGAACTGTTTTTATACTGCTCCTCCTAAAGGTCAAGCCTCACCCAACAGGTGGCCCTTTCTCATAGTTGTTATGAGCGTCCTCACAAGTGAAGCATGTTTAGATCCATTAATCTTCCAGAAATAGAAAATGAGGGGTGATGAACTAAAAGTGATCACTGGAACATTAGCACAACAAACATACATCAAACATGATTGAGATTCAACAGTCAAACTTATAAGCAATTAAGATTCTTTTACTATTAGCACACAAGATTAATATTCAGAAATAAAGTACAACTGAAAAATCTTTGGTTTCCTAAATGAATTCTAAATGGCTCTGAAGAACTATGATTGCTCTTGGCTAAGGATGAGTTAGTTTTTCCAATACCATCAGTACCAAAAAGATGCAGACATGCTCGGTCACATTACCCTGAACTCCAGAAGGTCTTTTTCAGAGCTGACACTATACAAGTCTATTATCTGAAGACTCATAAAAATTTCATAGGATATTAAATCTAGCAGACCAAACCTCTAATTTCCAAGAAAAGGAATCTGAGGTTAAGAAGGATCAGGGCGTCCCCTGATAATTCCTAAGGACCTTGAATCTGGAAGGTGTCCAATACGCTACTGGGGAAGAGTGGAGCACAACTACAAGCAGCTCCAATACAAATAAAAAGGCTGGGCCAGAGCTGAAAGGATGCTCAGCTATGAATGGGTCTAGTGATGAAAGGAAAGCCCTATACTGAACCTGGAATGTAAAATCTATAAACCAAGCTGAGCTGGATGTGGTCAAATGGAAAGATCTGGATGGAAATAGGAAACGTCAAACGGAAAGAGATGGAAAGATTAAACATCAGTATCTTGGGTGCCAGTGAACTTACACGGACAAGAATGGGTAAATTTAATTCAGGTGATCATTACATACATGTATACTACTCTGGGGAAGAATCCCTTAGAAAAAATGGAATTATTCTTCATAGTTAAAAAAAAAAAAGGTGAGAAAAGCAGTACTGGGATATAATCTGAAAAATGATAGAATGATGTCTGTTCAAATCCAAGGCAAACAGTTCAATATCACAGTAATACAATTCTGTGCTCCAACTGCTGATGCTGAAGAGGCCAAAGTTGATCAATTCTATGAAGACCTACAACATGTAGAAATAACACCAAAAAAAGATGTCACATTCATCACAGGGGACTGGAATGCTAAAGTAGAAAATCAAAGGATAACTGGAATAACAAACAAGTTTGGCCTTGGAATACAAAATGAAGCAAGGCAGAGACTGATAGAGTTTTGTCAAGATAACTCGATGGTCACAGCAAACACTCTTTTTCAACAATCCAAAAAGCAACTCTACACATGGACATCACCAGATGGTTAACACAGAAATCTAGATTGAATACATACTTTGCAGCCAAAGGCGGAGAAGCTCTATGAAGCCAATTAAAACAAGACCTGGAGCTGACTGTGGCTCAGATCATGAGCTTCTTATTGCAAAATTCAGACTTAAATTGAAGAAGGTAGGGAAAACCATCAGACCATATAGGTATGACCTAAATAATATCCTTTATGAATATGAAGTGGAGGTGATGAATCAATTTAAGGGATTAGATCTGGTATAATGTCTGAAGAACTATAGACAGGTTTTCAATACTGTAAAGCAACAAAAAACATTCCAAAGAAAAAGAAGAACAAGAAAGCAAAATGGCTTTCTGATGAGGCTTTACAAATAGCTAAGGAAAGAAGCAAAGTGAAAGGTAAAGAAGAAAGGCAAAGATATACCCAACTGAATGCAGAATTCCAGAGAACAGCAAAGAGAGATAAGAAGGTTTCCTTCAATGAGCAACACAAAGAAATAGAATAAAGCAACAGAATGGGAAAGACAAGAGATCTCTTCAAGAAAATCAGAGCTACAGGTGGCGGCAAGGTGGCGCAGTAGATAGAAACTGTTATGTTGCAAAATTTGAAAGGTGTAATTGAAATGAGTTATTTCTAAATAACAGTAATGTTGGGGCATCTAGGTGGTACAGCGGATAGAACATCAGCTCTGGAGTCAGGAGAACCTGAGTTCAAATCCAACCTCAGACACATAACACTTATTAGCTGTGTGACTCTGGGCAAGTCACTTAACCCCAACTACCTCACCAAAAACAAAACAAAACAACAACAAAAAAAAAATCAGAGCTGTAAAGCGAACATTTCATGCAAAAATGGGCATAATAAAAGACAGAAATGGTAGGGACTTAACAGAAGTAGAAGAGATTATGAGGTGGCAAGAATACACAAAAGAACTGTACAAGAAAGATCTTAACATCACCAATAACCACAATGGTATAGTTACTGATCTAGAGCCAGACATCCTGGGGAATAAAGTCAAGTGGGCCTTAGGAAGCACTGGAATTCCAGCAGAGTTATTTAAAATCCTAAAAGATGATGCTGTTAAAGTGCTACAGTCGATGTGCCAGCAAATTTGGAAAACTCAACTGCTCATGTCCCAATCCTAAAGATGGACAATGCCAAGGAATGTTCAAATTACCAAAGAATTGCACTCATTCACATACCAGCAAGGTTATGCTTAAGATTCTGCAAGCCAGGCTTCAGCAATATGAGAACTGAGAATTACCAGAAGTATAGGCTGCTTTTCAAAAAGGCAGAGGAACTAGAAAGCAAATTGCCAACATTTGCTGGATTATGGAGAAAGCAAGGGAGTTCCAGAAAATTACCTACTTCTTCTGCTCATATTGAGTACACTAAAGCCTTTGACTGTGGATCATAACAAAATGTGGCAAGTTCTCAAAGAGATGGGAGTATCAGATCATCTTACTTATCTCTTGAGGAACCTGTATGTGGGCCAAGAAGCAACAGCTGGAACCAACCATGGAATAATTGATTGGTTTAAGACTGGAAAAGCAACAAGGCTATATATTGTCACTTTATTTATTTAACTTACATGCAGAGTACATCAGGCAAAAAGCCAGGGTGGATGAATCAAAAGCTGGAATTAAGGTTGCTGGGAGAAATAGCAACAATCTCAGATATATAGGTGATACCATTCTGATGGCAGAAAGTGAAAAAGAACTGAGAAACCTCTTGATGAGGGTGAAAGAGGTGAGTATATAAGGTGGCTTGAAGGTTAATATAAAAAAAAACTTGGATCTTGGCAACTGGTCCCATCATTTCCTGGCAAACAAGGGGAAAAGAAATGGAAGCAGTGTCAGATTTTATATGCTCGAGCTCAAAGATCACTGCAGACGGCAACAGCAGCCATGAAATTAAAATACGCTTGCTCTCTGGAAGGAAAGCTATGGCAAATCTGGACAACACACAAAAAAAAGAAACAACACTTTGCCAATAAAGGTCCGTGTAGTCAAATCTATTTTCTTTTTCCAGTATCAATGCATGGCTGTGAGAGTTGGACTATAAGGAAAGCTGAGTGCTGCAGAACTGATGCTTTCAAATTGTGGTGCTGTAGAAGACCTTTGAGAGTCCCTTGGACAGCAAGGAGATCAAATCAGTTAATACTGAAAGAAACCTCAGGCTATTCATTGGAAGGTTAAATACTGAAGCTGAAGCTTAAATACTTTGGTCACATAAAAAGAAAATGGTACTCAGTGGAAAAGACCCTGATGTTGGGAAAAATTGACGGCAAAAGGAAAATAGAATGGCAGAAGTTGAGATGGTGAGATAGTGTCGTGGAAACAACAAACACGAACTTGGACAGCCTTCAAGAGGAGGACAGAAGGGCCTAGTGTGTTGTGGTCCATGTGGTCAGGGACAGTAAGACACCACACTGAACAACAACACCATATCTAATTCAGTTTTCCCAATCTGATTTATAGTACACACTATTTGACTGTTTCTTCTAGATTTTAAAAAGCTATCTAAGGTAGCTAGACTACTCTATTCTTTTTTTTTTTAAAGGACATCCTTGAGGAGAGGTTGGTCACTTATTGTATAAGTAATGCAGAATAGCATGTAAAGTCAATTCAGGAACTTCATGGAACCATATACCTTCAGGGGTCAAGTATGGTTGTAAGAGGGACAAGTTGTACTTAGTTTCTGCCAATACTAATGAAGCCTATTTTAATCTCCCCATCTAGACTCTACTCCTCCAAAAGGAGGAGCCAGGATTCTTTTTAACTAGGGAAAGCAGTGCTAAACCTGTGGAACAGAGCCATGGTCAGGACTCCATGGCTCCTTTAAAATTTATAGCAAAAAGAGGAAGGAATGTACGTGGGATCAGAGTTCAGTGGATTTTATGAAGAAGCAGTTTTCAGTGAAAGAAGGTTATTTGATAAGACAAGAGATTGTCACAAGGACTGATCAGCAAAGGCACCCTTTCTTCTCAACTCTTCTTTTACTTAAAACTTTTGAAGAGCTTCATTTTATTTTTTAAAAACACCCTGAATTCTACAGTTGGAAATTATAAGGAAGCATTGGTAGTATCTATCAATATTTTCTTTTCTCAAAGACTTGGGTGTAATCTGAAAAATCTTTTGAAGTCTTAAATGTTGCTATGTGGGAAGGGACTCACTGGAAAAAGAGATGCTGACCTGTCTATAGCTAGCAAAAGCTAACAAACTCAAAGCATTTACTCACACATCATTGAATTCCTCCAGAGACTTTGCTGGCGTGAAAACATCTAACAGGCCAATCACCTATAAGGAAAAAAAAAAAGTCATTAAAGTCTCCAAAACGGAACCTCTTCAACACAAGTTTTTTTTCTTCTTGTTGTTGCTTTGGGGGAGGGGTGGGGATGGGGTTTTCAAACTGGCCACGCCTCAATTCCACACGTGATGTCATTGGGATAGGGAAATTCCCAGGGTAGAAACTTCCTCCACCAAGGCAGTTCATCAAGTCTTCTGTCTTAGAAAAATTCCAGGGGCATTGAAAGATTGAGTGAGTCGTCCACAGTCACACAGACATTATGTGTCAAAGGCAGGACTAGAATCCGGGCTCACAGGATCAGAGATTTAGAGTTGAAAGTGACATTAATAGTCATCTAAGCCAATTCTACAAATAAGAAATTGAAGCCTAGAGAAATGGGTGATTTGTCCATGGCCACTCTCAGGTAGTAAGCACAACTGCTACTTATTCTCAATTCCGATCTAAATTCTGGTCCTATGACTTTCAAATCTGACATTTTCCCCACTGCCAGGCCTGCTCTGGATATACTACATCATTTTGCCTCTTAACATTACTGGTTTTTTTTTGTTGTTGTTGTTGTTGTTTTTTTAGTTTGGTGAGGCAATCGGGGTTAAATGATTTGCCCAGGGTCACTCACACCTCTAGTAGGTATCAAGTGTTTGAGGCCACATTTGAAGAAGTCAGGTCCTCCTGACTCCAAGGCCAATGCTCTATACACTGCGCCACCTAGCTGCCCCAACATTACTGTTATTTAGAAATAACTCATTTCAATTACAACTTTCAAATTTCGCAACATAACATTTTTTACCCAAACTCTTTAATTCAGTTCAACAAACATTAAGTGCTTACCATGTACAAGGCAGTTGCCAAGATGTTACAGATATAAAGACAAAAAACAATTCCTGACTCAAGGATCTCAACTCCTCTTCTGGTTACTTAACTCCTTTACTGATACTATTTTTATCTGTTCACTCTTCAATACAGACAGCCTGGAACTCATCAAAAGCTGGGGGAGGGGGGGGGGGCGGGAAAGAGCTTTACTTGGTGGACTTTTAAGTTTCATATGACTTTGCTTGTTTTTATCTTGGAATTTTCCAGCACCTACTATACTGCCTTGTAGGTGGCAAAATACTTTTGCTACCCATCTGTCACCCCTCACTTTGTGCCCTGCCCACTTTCTCTTCCTACCTCTTTTATGACATCTTTTATTTCTGTTCTTTCAAAGTTCAAAGAGGGGTTCCAGTCATGGACCAGAAAGAGTTTTTGAAAGTTAATGCTAAACCTCAGTGCCTTAGCTTGTTGGGAGGACCCTACTCTTTCACCCCTCATCTGGGAGGTGACTCAGAGGCCCCAAAGGAGAAGGAGGCTTCTACAAGTCCGAGGGGATGATGGTCCATGCTTTTTCTGACACAGTGTAATAATACTCTAGACCGAGAACTGCTGCTGAGCCTTAAGCTGGAGGTGGTAGGGGAGATGACAGCTGCCCAGGAACGAGCCCAGGGAGCTCAGCAATTTATCTTACTACAAGTACACTCTACCTATGTGTCCACTCACACTGTGCATATTTGTGAAAGAGTATGCCCCAGATTTACTCGAGGGTATTGTATGGCCTCTGTTCTTACTAGGGCATCCCAGCAAAGGCCTTTGCTTTTCAATAATTCTGTTTACTGAAGGTAGGTAATCAACTGATCAGAAAACAACCAATCATATAAAATGTACATACTGTCTCTATTAGAATATATGTCCCTGGAGGTCAGAGACTTGCTCACTTTATCTTTGTATCCTCTAGCTTAGTACATAGTAATAAATGCTTACTGACTGACCATTAAAAAGGAGGGCTCAACCTTGGGGTATGCAGGGAAATGAATGGAATGGAATGGAAAGGTAAAAAATAAAATGAAAAAAAAAAATCTGTGTACATTCCAAACACACACCACACACACCCATTATTCTAGACTATCTATCCCTGTCTTTCTTTTCTCTTAATGTGGATTATCAAATGTTAACTGATTGAAATCACTAGGGCACAGGGTGTGAACAGAGCCAAATTAATTCCCTGTTACCTATTCCATCCCAGCCCCAAACTACATCTAATCTTATCTATACTATTTTACGGGCAGCTAGACAGTCGCAATGGATAGAGAGCCCTTGGAATTAGGAAGACTCATCTTCCTGAGTTCAAGTTTGGCCTCAGACATGTACAAGTGATCCATGTGACCCTAGGCTTAAGTCACTTAACCTTGTTGGCCTCAGTTTCCTCATCTGTAAGATGAGCTGAAGAAGGAAACGGGTCAACCACTCCAGTATCTTTGCCAAGAAAACTCCAGAGTCCCAAAAAATTGGACATCACTGAAACCAACTGAATCACAACAAAATTCTATCCTTGATCCAAAGCCATAGTTCAACATTCCCTCTTGCACCTTCTCACTCAGGATGAACAGGAAATGTGTTTCAAAGTAAAATAAATCAGATTTAAAGATTTTTAAATGTCCTATCCACTTTTTTAATAACAATTATGCAGGGGGCAGCTAGATGGTACAGTAGATAGAGCACTAGCTCTGGAGTCAGGAGGACCTGAGTTCAAATCCAATCTCAGACACGTAACACTCACTAGCTGTGTGTCCTTGGGCAAATCACTTAACCCCAATTGCCCTCACCAAAACCAAACAAACAAACAAACACAATTATGCAACTAAACCACCTGTTTGTCAATAATTCTGAGCTGTTTTGTTGGCATATGGATGGATCCACACACTCTCACCTGATCTCCCTTTTGATCTTTGACATCAGCTAGCATGGCACTAGCACATCATCTGGGCATATATTGAGTACTCAATAAATACTGATAATAAAGCCAGCTAGATTTAGGGGGTGTTAAGAAAAGTTAATTGGTCCTCTAAAGAATAAAACTCACGATTCTGTCAATCCAAGGAGAAAAAAGGTTTTATTTAAGATATGTTAAAGATAAAAAAATTATCTTATTATTATATAGATTATAATTTCTAGTTGCAGAAATAACCCTCTAATATAAAAAAACCTTAAAGTTATATAATTTTAGAGTCTGAAGGGTCTTCAGAGATCTAGTACAACCCCTTTATTTTAAATAATGTTGATTTTTTAAAAAATTAACAAGCATTTATTTTCTCTCTCTTTTATCTCCTTCGCCCCCCAAAAAAGAAAAGAAAAGAAAGAAGAAAACCCTTGTAACTAAACATACATAATCAAGTGAAACAAATTCCCACATTGGCTATGTCCAAAAATACAGGGTCAAAGGAGTAAAAAGCGACTTATCACAGCTTTTTAGTAGCAGTCTGGACTAGAACTTAGGTCTTAAAATTCCCCATTCACACCCTTTCTACTTCACACTACCTTTACATTACATATATGGATCTGAACCATAATTAGTATTACAGAATTTTGAAATCTGAAAGTTGTGGAAGCAGTTCTATAAAATCAAGTCAGGGGTAAAGAAAATAAGGGGCTGTCGTGTAACTGCCCCACCTGCACAACCCAGTTAGCTAGGGAGAGGCAGGTGCTCTTTATTCAGCACGACAAGGGGGAGCTATCTCTATGGTTACTTCTCCGGAAAGGCTAAGAGGTGGAAATGAAAAACAAAGGTTTCCAGGCAGGTTGTGCTGGTGCTGATGCTGTTCACCACATCACAGTTTGAGACAAGTTCACAAATGAATGAATGAAAATGGCTCCAGAAACAAGGATCCATAGCACCACAAGGCAAATGCTTGTTATTGGTATTTAAAATCTAGTAGAATACAGCTCACTGAAGAACTTTATAAACTAACAAATATCTGCCCCTCCTCAGGATATTGGGAAGATTCAAACATAACTTTTTATCTCCAGAGCTATGAATACCCAGGGGAAGAAGTCGGGCAAAGGTGAATATTACTGCGACTGTCTCCAATGTAAAAGCATTCACACGGACAGTATGAATCACTGACATTTGTACATGTGATCTATCTTAAATCCAGAAGAATAACTCCATCCACCTCAACCACAAGGCACATAACAAGCCTCAAGTTGAAATTAAATTAAAAAGGCTACTGAGTGGTCACAAAACAGAGCACCCTGCTCTTTAATTCATAGCAGAGATATAAAAGTCACCATGTCGACCCAATGCTTATGTGCAAAATGGAGTCCAAGATTAAGGAGAACACACTAACAGCAACAAGTCACCGTAAAAAATATGTAAGATGGAAAAAAATTTGGTATTAAAGTTATGCTTTAAATATTGAAAAACCTATGCTGTCAATCTTAAAGACTTCATTGGGCATATATATAAATGACTATAAAATGCCACAATGATACAAAGGAAGAAAACATTGAAAGATTTTTGATACTCTGATCAAGGCAGTGACTGATCATGACTTCACAGCGAAGCATATCTTCTGCTTTTAGGCAGAGAGGTAACAGACAATGAGTAAGAAAGAAGCATGGCCACTATTTTAACTTGTTTGCTTATCTGAATTTATTTGTCACAGAAAGGAAAAGGTTTTTATGGGGTAAGAGGAGATCATAAATAGGAAAAGGTAATAAAAAAAGAGAATAGAGCACCAATAAAATATTTAAAAAATTTTTCTATTAAGAAATAAAGCTTAATTTTAGTTCAAAATTGTGAGTGTCTCCCCAGGTGTAATAGGTTACCGTTAGCCACTGGGCATTAGCCCAGGGCCTGGCACACACAGAAATGCTAGCTATTATTATTGTTGTTGTTGTTGTTACTGTCGTGTGTAAATCCTTAGGCTGCATCTGTGACACGCACTGAACCCTGTCACAACGTTAGGACCCTGACAGTGGGTATTGTTTCATTCTTGGTATTTGTGTTTCCAGTCCCTATCACTGTGCCTTGTACATGGGACACATGCTTAATAGATGCTTGTTAACTGACTGTCCTTAATTGCATCCCTTACTAATAACACGTGCATCCAACTTCTAAGATAGTGAAGAGGGGCAGCTAGGTGGCACAGTGGACAGAGTGCCTGGTCCTAGAGTCAGG